TTGAAGGTTTTGCGTTTGATCATAAATGTTGCGGTTAGAAAGAGTCGCCACCGACTTTTCTTTTATCCAAAAGGAAAGGTGAAAAAGCACATGAAAGACCTTTGAGATTATTTCTTGAGTTCGGGGGTAGATTATGAAAAGGGAAGGTATTAGCACCATTTTCATCCATGGTTTTCCATGGGCTCTTAGTTACTTGCTAGATCACTTGCTTTTGTTTGAAATTATGCTTTGTGTGGTTTTTTTTGAAAGTATTTTGTAAAGAGGCCATTGTTTAGGCGAACTTTGTAATGATTCTCGTTCGTAAGAATGTATACAAAGTGTTTGATCTTTTGAAAATGTTTTCAAGTTTGAAAGATGTTCGAAAGTGTAGGTGTTTGTTTTGAAAATAGCAAGGATATTTTGTTTGAAATTGAGCAAGTAATTAGGAGCATTCTACCTACTCAAAAGTCTTTCTTGTTCATTTTCTTTTCCTTTGACATTGTTATCTTGCCATTAATTTGGTAAGTAACCCTATCTTTGGATGTAAATGGGACGGGCGTGAGTCATCGTATAACCATGATTAGAAATGTTGCAAGGTATCTTAGTATTCTTTTTAGGGGCTAAGATCATTTGAAAGGCAACTTAGATAGCGTCATCGAGGGACTATGATCTTGTATTTGCTTGTTTTTGCTAAGATACCTTACATGCGTAATATGGTCATTTTTGTAAAGGCAACCGAGTGGAATTATCCTAGGGGTGTTTGTGTGCAAGTGCATTGCTTTCATGCTTGATTTTGTCTTGAATTAGGGTTTTCTAAGTATTGGTTTTAGTCTTTCCATACAAACCCTAATTACTAGCATGTTATATATAAAGCGATAAATTGCGAAATTTAAAGTTACTACGCTATTACAACACTTGTGGAAGGGGGTGTACACATTCATGAATGGGGATTGAAAGGATTTAAACCTAATTAGTCTATTACAACCATATTGAATTGGTACAAATGTACAAGGAATTAAATGAATACTGTACAAGATGAATAAATATGCAAGAATGCAAATATAAAGAAAATGGATATTTTTGTTTGAATTTTTTAGGAAAAGAGAATTGGTTTTAACCTAATTAATTAAAGGGAAAAATAGTTAATTAAAGTAGTAAAAGGTAAAACCTAAAATTACTAAGAAAAGACTTTAAATAAATAAAAAAACCTAAATCTATTAAAAAGAAAATAAGTTTAAGAAAAGTATTTATGTATTTTTGTCTTGAAAATAACTTTTAGTATTATAAAATATTTTTAGTCCCTTTTTTAATATTAAAATAATATATTTAATAGGTGTAAAAGGAAATAAATAATAACCTAATTTTAATTAAATTTATAAGATAATTTGTAAAATTAAATAAAGTATGATTAATAAAATAATTTTTTATGTGAGAAAAACAAATAAACTAAATTAAAATATAAATCTACTATTTTTGTATTTTTTATAATTTTTTAGTAACAGAAAAATAATTAAGAAAAACAAATAAAAAGAAAATAAGAAAATAAAATAAAATTGGGCCAGGGGTGCTGATAGCTTGTAAGGGGTGAGAAGTAGCAAAAAAAACATAAGCCCAAAGATTGGAGCCCAACGCCTGCAGAAAAGGGTCAGAAAATGCAAAAAAATGTAAAACATTTCAAAAGGGTACCACCGAGACTCGAACCCAGGTCCCAAAGGTTACAGGCGCGCGCTTCTACCACTGGGGTGGCTATACATCCGTTAACATAAGCAAAACAATAAATATATGATACAACACGCGCCATGAGTTACACTTCATCTTCAACCTTCAGCCAGACCAACTGTAACTTGTTCATTTCTCAACAAAAATGAAAACTATAAACATGAAACTTGTAGCAAATTTTCTCACGGTTTCAGAAATGTAAAAAATTAAAACTATAGATCAAAGATAAGCAGAATTTCATTGGCCCTAAACTGAACCCTAAAAATCTCAGAAATTTCAGTCTCAAAATTCTCTAAGCTCAAGCAAAATTAATGGAAACTATGGACATGGTCAGCTTTAGGGAAATGATATCTACATGTTTGATTCACAAATAAATCATTGATGATGCCTGTATGAAAAGTTCCAAAGTTAGAAAACTTACCTTGCAAGAGGGTATCGGGTTTGAAGTTTGAGCAGCTTTCAAGGAGTTCCAATGGTTGGGTTAGCTTCCTCAAGTTCCCAGGAAGTTAATGGAATGCTTAGTTGAGCTGAAAGGGCCTGAGGAGTTCTGGAGAAGTCCAAGTGCAAAGCTCTGTTTTTGAAAATGGTGGATGAGGATGGAGGTGTTACATTAATACTGCAGGTGTTGGGATTGTTTTTGTATGTTGTTTAGAAGCTTTTGAAAACAAAAGGCCAAGAAACGCACGAGTAGATTTGAAGATTGGCTTCAAATCTCAGAAATGACAAGTTTTGAAGTGTTTTTGCTGATTCTGAGTTCTAGGTGTTTTCAGGGGTTCAGCCTTCGTGTCCTTGATGCAAAATAGTTTGTGTATCTATAAGAAAAAGGATTGGAGTGAATTGGCAAGTCAGAAATACAAGTTGCAAGCTTTTGGCTAGGTTACTTGATTTTCAAGAAAAGAGGGAAACCAAGTTTCAATGTGAGGTACAAGCATGGGCTGGGTGATTGTAAGTGTCTAAACCATTTCTCATGAGTTATAGGACTTGTGTGATAAGAGGATAACAAGTGCAAGGCTTAAGAACAATTTTTGTGCAAAAAGTCACTTTACCAAAATGGCAATGTGCACTTTCTTTCAAAAAAAGGATATAAAGCATGTCCATGCATTGAATGCTTGAAATGAGACCTCTAATAGATGTGAAAGCCATTAATTATGGAGTGACTAACAAGTTTGATGCCTGAAAAGTAGAGTTTATGCAGCATAGTTTGAATTTTGAAATTGGTTCATCACAAAATGACTTGTAAATCAAGTGATAAGACCCTAACTTCATCTCTTCGATTCTCCCTACTAAAAAATGATCTCATGGAGTTCTTGGATATTTTGGAAAGCTTGCAATGTACTACATAACCCATATTTGAATTGATTTTTAATAATACAATTGTAACTATATGAAAAAGTGCCACGAAGTTGGGTCAAAATCCTGACCAAATTAGGGCAAAATTTCACTAAGTGTTTTGTTTCATGACCACATGTTCTTAAAATTATAACCTGAGATCCAAGCAATTTTGGAAGAAGTTGTGTGAAGAAAAGTTGTATATTTCATGGAGATCTAAAACTTTCATGTTGTAAGTTTCTCTTGAATCATCTTGCATCATGGTAAAAACATTTCTCAAAGTTATGAAAAAATAAGAAATTTTCAACACTTAGAAAAATTTCTAAGTTTAGAAATTTTAACTTTTCAAAATGAAATCTTGAATTTTTGTTTTCTTGATGAATAAGTTTCATATTTTGACATGTTTTGATTAATTTTGATCTTTGGCATTAGATTTTGACCAAAAAGTCAAAGTTTGACTTTTCAGTATACAGTTGACTTTTGATCAGTTGACTGAAAATTCATCTGTCAATCCATTGGACTTGAGCAATGTTTTGAGCCATGTCATTATGTAAAAATTATGCAATTGGACTCTTGATATAACTCCTTAAACCAATTGATCATTTGCTAGGTCAAAAATCAGAAATTGCCCTTTCCCAGTCAAAACCCTAATTTTGACCATTTTGCCCTTTTGGAGATTTGGTCAAATTTCTTGAAGAATTATGGTCCAAACTTGATCAAATGATACATATGAGTTTAAAATGTTTATTTGGATAAAAAATTGTGAAGTTTGACTATGATTTGGCCATAGTTGACTTTTTCCCCAATACAGCTGATTTTTAGGTCAACTGCTCAATTGACTGAGCAAAAATGTGATCCAAGGCTTGAAACTTGACATGAGTAATCTTGGGGGTCCATAATGATCCATGAAAGTAATATGGGGTATTGAAAGTTCAAAAATCCTCGTGCAATCTTAAACCTTAATTTTGGTCATCAATGTTTAAGGAGGTGTCTTGAGCTGATCAAACCCTAGTGTGGTCTTGAGTCCAAGGAGATCTTGTGAGCAAATTCTTGATAAGTGAGAGGGAAAATTTTGAGGTACAACACACATGCTACAAGAGATCAAAGTATTGGGAAAAAAATAGTGTACAACAATAACATGCCAAAATGGTATATATGTTTGAAAATGCCAAAATGGAAATCATTACAAAAGTCGAACCACATGGAAAACAAGAAGTTCAAGACTTCAATTTGTTATTCATCTCTTCAAAATGTGATCTTGCATGTTCGAGCTTCTTGTCATTAGTGATGTATTCATTCTTCAGTTTGTTCACCTCTTTCTCCAATATACGGGCAGTCTTTGCATGTTCGATACCAACATTTTCATATTAGACTAGTTTCTCACCAATAGAACCCATGTTAGAAACATTAATCTTAACTTTCTCTTTCTCCACTGCTTCAATCTTCCTCTGTAGGCATTTCATATGTTGAGTCCAGGATAATATATCCGCATCTAGATACTCCAGCCTATTTTTGTCCTTAGATTTTGCCTCCAATTCAGGGACTAAGAAACTAAGACATATTAGTGACATTTTCCTCTTCGACTAGTTTCTCATCAATAGAACCCAGGTTAGAAACATTAATCTTAACTTTCTCTTTCTCCACTGCTTCAATCTTCCTCTATAGGCATTTCACCTGTTGAGTCCAGGATAATATATCCACATCTAGATACTCCAGCCTATTTTTGTCCTTAGATTTTGCCTCCAATTCAGGGACTAAGAAACTAAGACATATTAGTGACATTTTCCTCTTCGACTAGTTTCTCATCAATAGAACCCAGGTTAGAAACATTAATCTTAACTTTCTCTTTCTCCACTACTTCAATCTTCCTCTGTAGGCATTTCACCTGTTGAGTCCAGGATAATATATCCGCATCTAGATACTCCAACCTATTTTTGTCCTTAGATTTTGCCTCCAATTCATGGACTATGAAACTAAGACATGTTAGTGACATTTTCCTCTTCGACTAGTTTCTCATAAATAGAACCCAAGTTAGAAACATTAATCTTAACTTTCTCTTTCTCCACTGCTTCAATCTTCCTCTGTAGGCATTTCATCTGTTGAGTCCAGGATAATATATCCGCATCTAGATACTCCAGCCTATTCTTGTCCTTAGATTCAGGAACCTAATTCAAGGACTAAGAAACTAAGACATGTTTGTGGAGCAAGATCTTAGTTCTTATGCCAAATCGACCAACGAAATATTTCTTAAGGTTAACAACTTGGGCAGCTTTCTCGAGAAAAGGCACAAAATCAAAGACAAAGTCAGTAATAGGATCTGGTGCATTCAATTTCTATAGCTTCAATAGCAGCCCCTAGATCTCAAAGAGAGCGACTGGGTCATCCTCGATGGTTTGGATATTATCCAGATCAATAAGTTTAGACTTTAATTGTTGGAACAATTCAACAAAGTCATCATTAGTTTGAACAACGGGAGAGGCAGAAGATAAATCATCAAAGTCCTTATGGTTATCCATAATTTTCTTGAAAGATTCAACCATATTCTCTTTCTGACGGGCTCCTAGCTTTTCTGGTTGGTTCATTGATTCAGAAGCATGGAAGGTGGAAGTAGTATTTAGGCTTTCAAAAGATTGTGACTGTGGTCTTGGCGAATTATGAGTATGTATGCTCTTGCCTGACCTCATGGAGGGGAGGCCTGGGCGGTTTTGGGACTCTTTTAGTCAAATTAATATCTGGAATCTTCTCAACTAAAATACTCATTGGGTCTTCTTGCACAAGACCAATACTAGGGGGAGTCTTTGGCATTAGAGCATCAAGCTTTTTATCCCAAGGAGAATTTGCTTCAGGCATGAATGAATCTTGTTGTTCAGGTGTGAATTCATCTGTATGAGGTTTTGCAGTCTCCATAATATGGTCAAAGTTCCCCCTAGGTTGTTTTATCTATTTGATCGACAATGAGTCCACCACCTCCAGTGGCGTTATATGGATGAACAAGGGTCGAACTAGTGGTATTGGGCATTATATACTTATTGTTAGAGAAATCAATATGTTAGCAAGATACATCTGGTTGTGCCTCGGAGATTGTGGGGTCGATATTGACAGGATTCATAAGGGAAAGGTTTTTGTCTGAGATAAAAGTTAGATGGAGTCTAAGAATGTAAAAGAAGGTGGCAAGTTACCTTGTTAGCAATAGGGTACGGACTGGAGTGTGCACTTCCTGGGCTCTGAGCGGTTTGCGATGGGTCGTTCTATCTCTCTTCTTCTTCTTTAGTGTAGGAACTTCATTATCAATATCTCATTCTTCATCGAAAACCAAGAGAGTTTCATGTCTAACCCTCTTCTTCTTCTTCTTGATTAGCGAAATTGACGGTAGCAAATCTGGCAGTTGTGTCGTACCCCAATTTTGACCGGGCACTTTAACTTCATATGTTTTCTAATACCATTTTATTTTGAATAAATGAAATGGTGCAGTTGGTAGGAGGTAAGTCTTGGAAGCATAGGGTCCTAAGTTCAAACCCCACTTTTTGCATTTCTTTTCCTTTTTATTTTGTTTCTAACTTTTATTTTCACTTTTATTTATGTTTTATTCAAAAAAATCACAAAAAAAATTGTTTTTTTTAATATTAAAATATTATTTTCTTTTTTTATTTTTAGGCATATTTAAAATATTATTTTTTTCATTTAATTTTTTAATTTTATGCATTTATAGTCAAAGAAATTCCAAAATAAAAAATTATTTGAATTGATTTTGTTCCATTTCACTTTACGATAGTTTTTATGAGATTGATCAAAATGGTCGTAACTTTTAAAAATTAAATTAATTTTTTTTAAAGTTTCAATTATTATTGATTAATTATCATTAGATCTCAATTTTATTCCCTTTTCATTTAACCTAAATTTTCATTATAAAAGGAGGCCATTCACAACTTTACAGAGGGACCACGTACAAATTCCACTAATTCCAAAATATTGTGCATACCACGATTCATTCACACAATACCTTGTATATTTCATTCCACAAAACCCTACTTTGTACAGATCATTCACGTACACACACTAACACAAAAAAAAAATAAATCATTCTCCCTGTCAATCTATACACTATCACGGTACGTAAAAAACCCTCATCTGCATTCATACAATAAACCAATTTTTCTTACATAATCGCCAATTTTCATTTTTTATTCACTTTTTAATATCCTTACACAACTAAAACCAGTACACATTCCTTTCAATTTCAAACCATTACACCAATTTCAACCTCCATTTGAATCCAAAACAAACATAAAAAAATTCTCATGAAATGTTAAATTCAAAATCTAATATCCTAAATAATTATGAACTTTCAAAGATTAGATTCGGATCCATGCAATAGTGGAAAAAGAATGAGATAAAAGATGAAGGAAATTGTTTACAAGTGTTCACAAAAGATCAAACTCTTTTGAAAAATGAAAGAACGGGTAGTTTGCGAGTTTACAAATCAATTATGGAAGTATGTGTTTTCTAACATTGTGAATAATTTAAGAGTAAAAATGATTTATAGGTGTTGGAGATTAAGAACAAAAAGAAGTGAAAAATTATGGTTGATTCAATTCATAAACACTTGTGTGATTTGAGTCAAGTGGCAAAAAAAATTGGAACAAGATCCACACTTTATGAGAAACCCATTTCTCCATGATTCGAATCAAGAATAAATTGTGATTAGACTCATGCTAAACTTTGATTCGAGTCATGAAGAAGCTATAATTCGACCCAAACAAGCAGGAGTTGATAAGAATTTTGTGATTCGACTCTTGTACAAGTTGTGATTCAATTTACAGGGCTCCAAGATTTGAATCATGTACAACCTGTGATTCGACTCAGACTCACAAATTCCTATTTTCCCTCTGTTTGATTTGATGGTGTATGATTTGAATCACACACCTAAAATCTCAATTTAATGTTGTTTTGAGATTCTAGTTGTGCCACGACTTGAACCAAACTCTAATATGATACTTGATCCAAAAACTCGACTAATTGACTTTAAATATAATGTTTATACTCAAATATCAAATAAAAACAGTTCGAATTATGCATGTTAAAAATATGGATCTAAAACTTGATCAAAAAATACGTAAATGAAGAGGAGACTAAATGATATAAACTTAAACCAAAACAAAATTTAAGAGACAAGCAACAAAATCATATAGAGGACCTAAAAGTTAGATTTTAAAATAGAGATATAAAAAAATTAAAAACACTTAAATAGAAATAGCAAAAACGCATTTAAGTCTAAAAAATAAACTCTTTTTTACAATTATTTTTACTTATTAGTCAAAACTCATCTTTTAAATTTTCTTCTAAACAATAGAGAGAAAAATCAATTAATATAATCACTTTAATTTCATAAAGTCTCAAGTTTCTCATAATTTGCCAATTAATGAACTCGTCAATTTTTTACTTTAGACTGTTGACTTATTACATGTGTTTAGATGATAAAATACTAATATATAAAAGATAACTTTCATATTTACAGTGGTCTCATTAGTCAATATTTGTGTGTCTTTAAATTTTTTATATTTATTTATTTTTTATACTTTTATCATTAATTTTGTGCATAATTTAATCAATATATATATAACTACTATTAATAGGGTTGTATTGTACATTTTCTCGGCAGCCTAGTGGAGGCTATAAAGTGCAAATTGTCTTTTAAACTATTATTAATAGTCGAATGTCCCGAGGAAATGGGACTAGAATATACATCATCATTATCTAATTATTGAGTTAATATGAAGACATAATGAATCACTTCAATTCAATGACCATTAACTGAAGTATTCCCTCTCTCTATTAGTGAGAATGATATTTATTTTGAAACTATTAAAACGACATTCATTTTAAAGCGGATGATTTATCAGAATAAACGGTGTCTATCTTTGATGAGTTGAACCTGAACTAGAGCTTGTTACAGTACTATTTAAGCTGTATAATGGTGTTTGTCCAAAAAAAGCTGTCAAATGATGTTTTTCTGCAGCAGTGCACACTATTTAACTCGCATATCATTGGTTACAGTATTACAGTTTTTGTCATGGTATGCATGTTTGATGTTATAGATTCCACCTCTGATGTAAAAGGCTTGATTGCATGTGTTTCTCAAAAAGTATATCACGTTATGAGTGAATAGAAACTGAAAATATAAAACTCAGTATATTTATTCTCTTTTAGGGTTTTTTCGATCTGACATAGTAAAATGAGCCTCGAGCGTTGTGGGTGAATAAAAATTAGATTACACTTAGGTTAGAATAATGAAAACCAAAAGCACCATTTATTGGATTACAAGAGACAAGTTTTGCTAACTTTATAGGAGACCAAAAGGGGGACAGCCTCACAGGGCTTAACTTCATTATGCTAACAACAATCTACAAAGTGAGATTAGACCAGTAATTTGTCCTAAGCTGATATTGTGGATTTCATGTGAAGGACACTTATAAAAGTACACGTGAAGGGTCAAAATTTCTTCAACTGAAAGAATCTTTGGTGCATGAGTTATTAGTCTAACATTATTTAATTTCTTGTGTTAGCTTTTCTGATTGGTGAATGAACAGAAGAATATAAAGACATGCATGCTACTTGTATATTTATTTATTATCATCACCAAACCCACATGTGACTTCAAAGACAAATGAACATCGGCACTATATGTTTATTAAATATTTTTTTCCCAAATGGCATAATAAGTAACATGCCACTTATTAAATAATTAAGCACATATAATATAAACGCAAACATCTGCATGTGAACAAATATATATTCAACAATAAGCATCAAGCTATCTAGTGTGCATGAGCTGATTTAACCATGGATCCAAGAATCTCCTTCTCCAATGATTTTGTTGTTAGCCAACAACAAGCAATCAAACATGAAAACATATACAGAGAAGCTCCTGTCTCTTCGGATTTCGAATTCTCGGTCAAAAAATATTCCATGATAACAGCAGATCAAGTCTTTTTTAAGGGCATGTTGTTGCCTGGTAATGAATGCTCCAAGAAGGTGACTTTAAGAGATGAGCTACTTAATGACGATGATTCACCAAAATGGTCAAAGAGTTTAAGCCGATGGAAGGAACGATTAGGCCTAAAGAGAGGTTCATCTAAGAAAGATAAGAATAAGAATGATCAGAGATCTGTAGTTAACCTTGAACAAGGAGAAACAGCTGTTAACAAAGACAATATTGTAAGGTTTTCATCCAAGTCTTTTCTATTCTTTGCTAAGATAGTTACTTAGGTTTTGTTGACAGATTCATTTCTTGTGAATTATCACAGGAATTGTTCTATGAAAGAGATGTAGGTTTCAAAGGAAAGTGAAATCAAGAGGAACGGCTTCCTTTTGTCTAGGAGGGATGATAATATGATATTAAATATTAATATCTATCAAGTGTTAGACTTTTAGCTGACTTATTTACTATTGAGCAAGTTAAATTTAACCTATGTAGTATGTAGTAGAAACAAGTATTATTATCTTTGTACAAAATTTGTAGTTTATGAATCAGTGAGTATTTTAATGTGTGATGTGATGCATCCAGTGGTGGTGGCTTTTGTTTAGAGATATAGTGACTATAGCTAGTTGTGAAAGTTTCTTCACCTTGTACTTCTAAGAAAGTTAATTATCCCTATATTCGTTGCTTTCATGTTATCTTAAGCATGTTTCTTACTGTTTTACTTAATTTTTTGGGAAGTGGAAACAAAAATGATCGGCTTATGAGAAAAATGCAACGTGAAGATCAAATCTGAAGAGCAAACCAAGTTTGTTGTTTAAAAATGGAGGGAAATGCAATATGTAGATTAGAATCACTTCATCCTAGACTCCTACTTTGAAAGTGTATTTATAAGGGTAGCAATCTTTTAAAAATAAAGAATGCAACACATCAAAATATTCGAATTTTTTTTGTAATAATCAAGTATTAAAAAAAAAATCGCAAATAACCATGTTTCAGAAAACCCCACAAAGGAGGAGCCAAGTGAGATGGTGCATGCACTGGCTCATTTGCCCTAGGCGCCATCTCACTTGGTACATCCACTCTATTTTAGCCAAGTGAGATGGCGCATGCACTCTAAAAGTGAAGGGAGGCGCCATCTCACTTGACTCCTAGGAAAAAAATACATTTTTTTATAAATAATTCGTCTGTTTCTCCGTCATTCTTCACACTTTCTCGCACTGTTTCTTATTTTTTCTCTGTTATTTGCGTCATGACATCGTCCATGATTTTTATCAGAGATGGTTACGTTATTTTCTCGGCCACCAAACCTCCGATGAAAATGAATTTCTGGCACATTCACTTCATGGAGCGTCTGAAGAGAGAGTTGATGCGATGGCTAGAGGGAGACATCGAGGATGGGGAACAAATTAGAAGGATCCAGCGAAGAAGAATAGCCACCTCACTTGCGACAGGAAGACCTAATTTTTGGTTGGAGGAATTCAAAACAGACAACGACGTAATGTTGATGATGCATGGGTCAGATTAAATTGTTTTAACAGTTGTAATTTCGTAGACGGTTTATCGTGTTTTTTTTATTGTTCGCGCAAGGTTTATTGTAACAGATGCTATTAATGAAAAACCGTAATATTTACAACTTAAAAAAGTAAAGATGTTTTGTAATATAATTTTTATGTGGTTGAGTTAGTAGCCCGAGTCAGACAATTTTTACGATTGTGTCCGACCTGAGGACATAAACCACACTTTCTTTCCAGCTTGTCAAGGGAGTCCATTTCAGTTGTGATGCACTTACTTTTGGGCGATCCTTTTTATTCCTTCAAATTTAGTCATTGTGCCATACTATTTCGCCATCGTATGCAGACCAATAATCAGGTTTTGCTACCAAAGAGAAGCTGTTGTTCTATAAGTTGAGCAATGTTTCAGATTTGTAAATGGGAGACAAAAGTTGTAATGCGTCTTGATGAGTATAGACACACGTAGCAATAAAATGAGAGCAAGGCATACGAAAGACTTGAAACTTGCCACATCGCACCAACGAGAAGGTAGTATAACCCTATACTCTTGTCTTGGCAGCCCCTCGTTGTGGCCGATAGTCTCTTTGCCAATGAAGTTGTGACTGTGTCGGTCGAACTGTATAACCAGATGGGTGTTGGCTTTGGCACTTTCTGCCTTAATAATCTTCATGCAACTTTCACTCCATAGATGTCCCGATTGCAACACAACATTCCACATTTCACCTCTTTTGACAAACAACGAAGCCATCCTAAAATATGTTGATTTAACCAAAGCAGTTACTGGGAGGTTTCATATGCCTTTGAATACCCCGTTCATGGATTCAATCAGATTTGTTGTCCATTGTCGTATGTGTAACGCCCGTAATTTAATTAATTATTTAATTAAATTATTTTTGGAATAATTGTGAAGTTGTGCTATGATGATAGTTGATTTGTTGTGATTAGTTGGATTTATTTATTTTATTAAGTTGTGGGATAATATTAGAATGATAATATTATTTAATGTGGGCTTGTTTTAAAGGAATAAAAGTAGTAAAAAAGGGGTGTAGTAGTCTTAAGCCCATTAAGTTATTTTGAGAATTATAGGGTTATTTTATTCTTGTTAGAAATAATAAGAAAAGAAGAAGCAGTAAGAGAGAAAGAAATAAGGGTTGGAAGAAGAGAACGTGAAAGTTGTTAGAAAGGAGGAAAAGAGGCAGGACGGAAATCAACCGAAAAAGTTATAGAGCAACCTTCAATCTAAGGTAAGGATGGGGTTCTGACTCTATAATAGGGTTTATGATGATTGGTATGTGAGATTAGATATGAAAGATTGTTTGGTTTATGATTAAATTATATACATTGTTGTTTGATGAGAATCGATGATTGAAAGATGAATAATGATGCCCTAATATTGTATATTTGATGTAGAATTATAGGATAGTTATAATTGATGATTATCTATGATTAGAAGATGTTTTTAGGGCCTAAAGTATGGAAACTGTAGTGAAAATGCAGTGAAATCGCAGAAAATATCCGTGACAGAATATTATGTGTTGACCCCAAATGCCATGCATCGATGCATGAAGGCTTTTAGACTCAGGATGAGTCGATACGAAGGAGTCATACGTCGAGACATGAAGGCTTGTAGACCCAGGATGAGTCGATACGAAGGAGCATGTATCTATACATGCAATGTTGCAGACTCAGTATGAGTCAATACAAAGGGAGTACACGTAGACTCATGTAGCGTGTTAAGCCCAGTACGCATCGACTCAAGACATTACGCGTCGATCCATGTAGTCTGGGTTTTGATAGAATCATTTTGAAAAGGCTGTAACTTGAGTTTTCGGACTCCGTTTGAGGTGTCGTTCGAAGTGTTGGATAGCTAACGTAATGAACTACATTCTTAAGGATTAAAATGAATAATAGTAAGGATAATCCTAGTATCCAAATTAGTATTAGGGTTAGTTCCCGCGTTAATTGCTATGTTGATTTTTGTGAAGAATGATGAGGATGAGATGATTATAGATTACTGTTTGGTTCGTAACAGCAAGATTAATGAGGATAATAATGTAGATTTACAGAATGAATAATATGTAAAGGTTTGGTAATTTAGAAGTAAGCCTTAGATGATTAATTAATTATAGGCAATATCATGTTGTAGGCCTATGGCCAACGTTGCGAGATTGACGATCTACTGATGTATTGTTGTATGGATGAGTTGATGTGAATGATGTTGATAAATGATGTTGATGAGATTATGTTGATGAATTATGCGATGATAAATAGTGTTTGATGAATTATGTTGATAAATGATGTTTGATAAATTATGTTGATAAATGATGTTTGATGAATTATGTTGATCAATGATGTTGATGAATGATGTTGATGAAAGATGTTAAGATGCCTGTAATAATTGGCAGCTATTAAGATGTAGGCTTCTGGCCAACAATGATGTTGTGTTGAGATGTTGTGTGGTGTCATTACACTCATTATTGTGTCGCATACATTACATTTCAAGATGGAGGTGATGTTCGTTAAGATGACCTGTATTGGCGAATATTAAGATGAAGGCTTATGACTCGTTGATACCTTTATTTATTGGAAATTATTTGAGATGGGATTTCTTCTCCAATGGTACCACATGCATTTGCATAGTATTGAGTCGCATTATATGAGTGCATAAAGAAGTTGTGTATTGATGCAGTGAATGTGTATATTGTTGGTATTTCTGTTGCGATTATTGTTGTTTATAAGATGAGAAGTGGTTCTGTTGCGATCATAAGTTTTATTATATTGTTAGATATCTCACCCCTTCTGTTTGAATGTTACCCTTACGTTGGTAACGTGTAGGTAATCCAGAGTGAAGGCTATATACCTTTAGTAGTTCGATTCGGTGTCATTGCTCTGATACGTAACACTCGGGGGGATGAACACTTGTTGCTTTTAGTTATTGATTATTTCAGTTATTGAACTTTAATTTGTTTGTTGCTAAGTATGTGTTGTTTTGAAGTTGTTGTAACAATGGATAAAGATGTTATTAAGAATTCTGCAGCGTAGATGTTCAAGTTGTCAAATTAAGACATTAAATCATTATGCTGATAGTTCATCCGAAGTTTTAAAGTTTTATGTATCCACGTTGAATGCAATGTATTTTTAAATAAGAATTTGTGGCATCCTGATTCGTTTGCATGAATGTTTATAACTTTGATTTACATTTATAATTTCCGGGTAAAATTAGGGTGTTACAAAGTTGGTATCAGAGTAAAAGGCTGGTCCGTCCGACCAAGTTGTCGAGTCGTAGTTGTCTAACAATCGAGTATTATTAATTGAGTTTTAACCGTTGTTTATGTTGTAGTGATAAGTTGAGATGGCTGGAAGGAATGATGCTGCACTTGTTGCTGCTTTAGAAGCAATGGCGCATGCGATGGAGAATCAACCGAATGCTGACGGGAATGCTGGATCTCGTAGTTTAGCGACTTTACAGAGAGAGAATCCGCCTAACTTCAAGGGAAAGTATGATACCGATGAAGCATTGGATTGGTTGAAAGAGATTGAGAGAATATTCCGTGTGATGGACTGCAGTCCAACGCAGAAGGTTCGATATGGTACTCATACGCTAGCAGTTGAGGCTGATGACTGGTGGCTAGAGACTTGTCAGAGATTGGAAGCTGCAGGTGAGAATGTCACTTGGGATGTGTTCCGAAGGGAATTTCTAAGGAAGTACTTTCTGGAAGACTTTCGTGGTAAGAAGGAAATTGAGTTCCTCGAGCTGAAGTAAGGGAATATGTCAGTTGTTGAGTATGCTGCAATGTTTGCTGAGTTGGCTAAGTTCTATCCGCACTACGGTGAGGCGAATGCTGAGTTTTTGAAG